CCCCTCCCCTCCCCTCTCCTCTCCTCTCCTCTTCTCCCACCCGCCTGCCCAGCAGCAGGAGGCTGGCTCACTCGACAGCAAGGAAGGGGAAGCGAGGCTTTTTATAACTGTAGATAATTAATTTGTTGTTGTCTGTGACTCATTACTCTAATACTGCCAATTAAGGACTTGGTAGGACTGAAGGATGTTCTCAGGCTGTCCCCACAGGGCCCCCTGAAGACTGTGTCTGCCGGAGGCAGCACAGTGTCAAACTAGCTTCTCCATAGAGGGAGGGATATAGGTCAGATGCCTGGAGGAACTTCCCAGACAGAGACACTGAAGCAGCAGGCTGAGGCAGTCAGCTCTCCTGTGCTTCTTTCTCTTCTTTGGTACATTTGCCTTTTGAAGGCTGTTAAAAGCTTAGTTGAGCTTCTTCATTTTACGGATGGGGCTCTAGGAAGTGTGATTTATTCAAGCCAAGAGGGGCTGAAGGAACAGCCTGCACTACCTGTGTTCTTACCCCCAGCCTGTGTGCTCTTTTTTGTCCCATGCCAAATGGTCTTGTCTGGAATGCCCTGGTTACTTACTCAGTCAACAAATCTTTGCTGGCACCTGCTTGGAGTCACAGGTGTCTCAGACAGGGTCCTCCCCTTCCTTGAAGGGCTCCCCGGCAGGTGGGGGTACAGACAGGAACTGATACACCCAGACCACCCAGGGTGAACGCCCAGGGAAAGTTTACGGTTAAGAGACTGAGCCTGTGTCAGGAGTGGGAAGTATGCAGGGAGGGGAAGCTGTGTGTGGTGGGGAGTGGCCTATGTTTGGGAATTGAAAGTAATTCAACCCCAGTTGCAGGGTATGAGGACGGGGAGGGGGATGTGTGGCCACGGGGCCTCAGCCTTGGGTCTGCACTGAGCAGCCTGGGCTTCAGCCTGGCCATGTCACCCATGAGACTTTAACTCCAGGGAGCAGTGATAACATGGCAGAGAGTCCTCTGAGGACCCTTGCGTGGCAGTGGGGAGGGCCGGGGAGCTAGATGAGAGGGACTGAGGCAGATTAGAGGGATGGAGATGCAGGCAAGGGGAGGGGTGCAGACACCTAGAAGGTATAATCAGCAGACCGGCTGGGGATGGAGATGAAAGGGAGTCTCCCAGGCTGACCCCCGTCAACTCGGGACTGCAGCCTGGGTAACTGAAGACCATCGAAGAGACGGAACCCATGCTTGCCCAAGGGTGAGTGGGTGTCTAGAAGGGCACACAGCAGAGTGCGTGGGACAGACAGAGCAAATCGCCACGTGCCTCCCTCCTATGATAGGAACACATGGGAGTCCCTGCCACTAGGTCCCCACTCCATGCCACCCACACTGAGCTTCTCACTATCAAGGATAAGCACCCTTCCCAGCAGTGCTTTTGTACCCACTGGTCCCCTGCCTAGACTGCATTTTTCTCTCCTCTCTGCCTCTCTCCTCATGGCCCATACCCTTGCCTCTGCTTCCCTGCCAAAAACAGGCCAACTCTCCTTCCTTGCCCTTCCCTGGCCCACCTTGCCCTTCCTCTCCCTGACTCTCACAGCACCCTGGGCCTGGGCTGGCCATGAGGATTAGGATTTTCCGAGTCTCCACTAGACTCAGGAGTGTTTTGAGGTTCCCCAGCCAGGTTTGCTGAGTAAGCCTGGGAAAAGTGCTAAAGGCTGAGTGGTAAGAAAGCTGGTTTGGGAAGGTGTCTGCCACTGAGCCCACTACAGTGGGAAGACAGGGCCTACATAAGCTTTGGGGTGTGGGTGGTCTGGAGAAGGCAGGCGTATATATACTTTTATAGATGGATATGTGCTGATTCTTGGTCCTGCCTCCTGGGCCCCTGGCTGTGGTTGGCGAGGGAGGTGCTGACTTAGCTGATGCAACCTACTGGCTCCCCTTGGAGTTGGGATTGGGCTGGAAAGTGGGCAGGAAGGTGTGAATTTCCCGGCCAGCCCCTTACTCCTATTCTACCAGCTTGTGAGTGGGATGTAGGGCAGAGAGGAGTAGATGTTCTAATGAATCAGGGCAGGCTAGGTGATAAAAGCCACCTTGAGGTAGGGTCCAGAGTGAGACTGGATTCAGCCTT